GGGTGTGTGTTCTTTTTAAATGTTCTAGGAGACAGTAAAAAAAGGAAAGGAAAGGTTTCATATGTGAGTCTAACAATAGCCACGCTACCCATTACACATCAGTTAAAGCTTTAATACTGTTTCAAAAGAAAGACTACTGACAGAAAAGAAGGATGCTGAGAATCAGCCACTACAAGAACGACACAAGATACAGCAGAGAAGCAGCTCAGAAACACCACAAGCAAGTGGCGAGTCACAAACCCAGGGGCTCGTGATCCCCCTAATACCCAGCATCTTTCCACAGGCAGAAGAATACTTTGAAGGTGACAGCAACAATACCAGGAAGATCCATTCTGTTTGAACCGAAAAGCGACTCAGTTGCTGTGCCAAAATCTTCTTGTATTTGTATACAGAGTGATAAAAATATTTCCCTCCCCAAAGTACCAATTAGTAAAGTTCTTATTTTTGGAGAAAAAGAACTGATGTTTTTGGTGGGGTCAGGACCTACTCAAACTCTATATACACTGGCTTGGCAGATCCACCCTTCCAACTACTTGTAAAGATAGTCATTAGCATCTTTCAACACAACAATCCTTCCTTCCCTCTACTGTATTTTAAGTGCTAGCAATCTCCTCCAGGTTAAAAAAAAAAAGTAGGAGAAGAATACAGCCCCCGCAGTAAGGGAAAGATACGCACAAACAGTATGCACAAGTACTCATGATATAATCCATTCTACCTTGATTGCCAAAGATCTTTCTCACACTTGCGACTAATGCTTCGGTGTTTATACATAGGGGATTTCAACTACCTAGAAATCTTGGGTTTAAGAAATGAACGTTGCTTTGAATAAAGCCAAGGTATGAAAAAAGTTTTATAGAATTTTATAATTACTCATTTTAGTAAGCCGTGTTAACTTACTTCTCTTTGTCCCATTAGAAAGCATTCGGCAGCAATGGCTCTGAGGAAAAGAAATATATAAAAATATTTATTTTTGAATCATTTTAAATGCCATTAGTGGCAGAATACTGACTGTGGAATGGAATTACAAATTCCTTGAGAAGAAACTAACTTCCAATGATGTTAATCTACAGTGAAAAGATAAAAAAAGCCATTTTTTAAAAACAACCTTACATGAGCAAGACATTTCAGTGGTTCCCCATTATGAACAAACACTGAAGAAAAAGATCAGTTCAGCATCACTGGATAATGGAGATTACTGCTATTGTGATATATAAAGGGGGGGGGTAGAGAGGGGAAGACAGAAGTCAATAGTTGAATTAAAAAGGCAACTTGTAAATACATCATTCATATTTATCTGCATAATATCCATTCACATAAGTTTCCCCCAGAGGGAAATTCCATTTCTCATATTAAAGAGGTGACAGTACCTCTGTCATAGCAAACAGTTACTGTTTAAATAAACTAATGAAAGAGAGACTTCCAGTACAAGCCCAATTGGAACAATGTTTCAGATTTACCTTTGTGATGTAAACCTTATAAACAAAAGCAATATCTATGAAAACAGATGTATGACTGTTGCATTACATTTTCCAGATGGCCAGGCATGTTGGGATATTATATGTAAACATCTTGGCTTGCAGTTTCAGAATTTGAACATTGCTCTCCTCCCAGTATCGCAGAAGCAGTCTGTAAAAGGCATTCATAAGAAAGGAACACTGCTCTAATCATCAGGAACAGAAAAGCAATCCAAAGATACAAACACATTACATAAAATATATTATACCTAATCTGAGCCAAGAATTGCAAGTAGGAAAAAAAAATAACAAGCCACTATATACGATATTGACTGAACGTGCTCTCAGAACAAAACAAAGTTAAGATACACTTTCAGAGAGTAACTAACAAGTGTGAAATCAGAAGGAAAACATGATCTTGGCACATTACAAGGTCCGTTTTTAGCATGCACAAGTTAACTCTATATTTGAAAGGAGGCTAATTGGTTGTATAGCCATGTGGCTAGGAGATACTGTTCAGTCAGTTCTGCTCATCCATTTTGTGTAGTATCAACATTGTCTACAGAAGCTGCAAGTTCCATCTAGACAGAATTGCAACTTGGTTTAAAATGCAGCCATTCAACTTTGTGTGCCAAAGGCAGGTGTACCATACTCTCCTCCTCCTCTCCTCACGCCCCCAACCACACACTCCTATTTCAAGTCCTGCTCTGAATTCTTTGGGGTCACTGTTGACGACAAACAGTGTCTGGGGATTTTCCAAAATTATTCAGTCAAATGTTCATGAGTTCTCTGCAGCTGAATACAGTAAAACATGGACTCTCTAATCCTGGAAGAGTACATTTTGAAATACTGTTCAAGAATCAGTGTGATGCTTACATTAACTATTTTTGTTTCCTGTAAGATTTTTTTTTCAAAATTAAGAATAGTTTATCTTTGCTAAATAAATGTCAAGTTAAACCCTAAGGTAGCACTGTTATACACCAGTGTGTCCATTTCTATTTGTCCTATGCTGAAACTATACTTTTAATAGATCATTAAGCAGCAACAAGATTTTTATATGTATCTGACATTTTTCTACACACTTGAAATTGTGACCATTTGTATTCATGATGTACAATGCATAGTTAATTCCTGTACAATTATAACTCTTCTGTAGATAGAACAGAACCTTGTCAAATACAAGAAAGATTGAGATGATGTCAGAAGGCACAATATGCCTCAAGCAACATGCAATAACAGAGGAAGTTTTGCTTTTGTAGTAGAAAGCAAATCATGCATATCTTGCACAAAAACAATTAGTTATGTTAACCAGCTGTTTGTCTTGACTATAAGTATTTTTACATACCTCAGTGCAAGTCCAGGATTAGCAGGCATGGTAGAACAAAACCGTTCCAAGGTTTTGGAATGCTGAGATTTTGGAATGCAGCTCAAATAAAAAAGAATTACCTGTAGAATTTGATTTATAAACATTAATCCACTTTACAGCTGTCTAATTTTGCTAACAATAATGGAATGACAAACTATGGACATTATGACTATAGTGAGTTACCACCTAGAAACCTTATCAACTACAAACCTTATCCTTCAAGGGTACAGAAATCAATTTGTATAATAAAAAGTTAGTGTCAAGTTGCTAACACCACATATTTTAGTCCTTCTAGCCTGCATTTAGTGAGTAAAGAGAAATACAGTGGATGTTAGCAAAATGAGACCCTGGATTTCTATAAGCTTTATTCTGTCCATACAAGTGCTCAGCTTGTTTCTACTCGTACTTTATTTCTTCTGTTCTTCAACCACTGTAATTTCTGTGATCAAAACCAACAGCTTAAATACTGTCTCCATCTGCCAGTGTTACAGCTCTGCAGACCCCTCTTGCTCAACCATCTCTTCCCTCCCTTACACTTCTCTTTTCTCTAGGAGAGAATAGTTTGTCATTAACAGCTGTATTCACAGTACTACGACATGCCATAATGAAGTTTCTCTTTGCCTTACACACCCTTTATTCAAAAAGTCACTGCTAGATACTCTTCTGCTCAGAACACTACTCTCCTCAGATACTTCTTTCTTTTTCTACTCATTCCTAGCTCTCAGTGTTCATATCTACCGGTGCTGTATTTGAACAAGCAAATTACAGGTACCTCCTAGAAGCTCAGCAGTCTCTTTGTTTAATTAAAACTGTCCACAGACACATTTTTACCTTATTATGAAACTCATAATTGGTCCAATAATCAGCAGTACTAAAAGGAATTGGGTATCGTGTGGGGACTGTAACCAGACATCTGTTCACTAGGTCAGTAAAAAGCTTGAATTCTTGAACTTTGTTGTTGGATCCAACAACTTTGCTATTAATAAAAACAAGGTAACTGGAAGAGAAAAAAAAAAAGACAAAAGATGGTTCTGGTAGCCTTCACTTAATAGTTTTGAGATTAATTTACTTTCTTCCCTTAAGAACTTACTCCAGCCAGATGTTCTGAACAGTTTCCTGCTGCATCACTGCCCCCAGAGCTGCTTCATAAGCATCCAGTGCTTCACCAACACTTGCGTGAAGAGACTGGCACAAACTGTTCATATTAAAAGAGTGTTGTATGTCATAAACAATGCATGTTCTTGCATATTATGAGTCAGAAACAATGAAGAGCTTCCCATTCTGAGATGCACGAAAAACCAGCGTTTTCAGTTTAGCAGCATTCGGGACTAATTTATCAGTCAACTTACTAAAATGGGTAAGTCTCAACTGCAGATAAGGAGGACTATTACAGAAACCATGCAGTTTAAAATGCAACTCAACTTAAATAGAAATGAGATATTATGAATTGTTTTCTACTCTTGTAAAGTGCCCTTTTACTAGTCCTTTTAATAGGCATGCTCTGACTGCTACAGAATGGAGACAAGTCTTGAGTTTCCATTTGAAAAGCTCCAGAAAACCAATTTCAAAGTAAGATTAAAACCACTTGAGAAATGGTATCAGACTGTGACAACAAAATTAGCATTCTGGAAGAAATACTACTGGGGATCTGGTGTAGTAATATGCTGATAGTGTCAGGATAAAAAAAAAAGACAAGAATAGTCAAAAAAACCCTTAATTTTGTTCCACGGCTCCTCAAAGAAACATACGGTCAGACCAAACATACGGTCAGGACCTCACCAAAGACAGAAACAGACACATTTTTTGACCAAGATTCAGTGAACAATCCTTATTTCAAAGTCTAAAGTAACAGTGAAAAAGAGGTAAGATTTTCAGTAAGTCATAAGAGAAAAAAAAAACACACCACACATGAAGGGGAAGACTACAGAAATGTAAAATAAGAGACAGCTGATGCTGCTACCTTGCTACTGAACCCTTCTGACTAGGGTCACATAATCAGAGTGCCTGACTCTACTCCTGCTTTCCCCAAGAACTACAAACTAAATCACCAATTTGCTACTCTTTCTAAAAAAGTGTGTACATTCGTTTGTGCACACACATACACATGTGTACATACACACAGTGATCTTTCCAAGTAAACACTGCTTCTCAAGCTTTGAGGTTTTGTTGATTTCAATCTGACTATTTTCATTCAGTAAAAGTGAATTTTCACATCTTTTGTCCTCTGTATCTGAAAAAAGGAAAGATGGATACATAGGCCCAAATATCCAGGCACTTACTGTAGCAAAACTCAACCACAGCAGCACTCAATTATTAGCTCTGAAACTGAGGCACTTATTTCAAGAGCATTGATGTTCCTCTTAAAAACAGGTGCTAAAATACAGGAGCATCTGAACTTAAGTTAAGGTCCCTAATGACTAGAGTAAACAGTGACCTCAAGTATCTTTCTAACAATGTTTCTACTGTGCAAATACCAAACCTAAAATTGAACTTACAAAGAGGTAAGTATTTTCTTTAAAAAAAATTAAATTGGTATTAATGGACAATATAAAAAGAAAACATTAAGATAACTTAATCTAAGCCTTATATAAAGATTTTCTTGAAAACCATACATTTTACCTGTCTATAAATTGTCCACCAATTAAAAAAATACAAGCAACAGTGCTGAAGGAGTTCTGAGGAGTCCTCACTCAGTATCTGAAGGATTATCATCTTTGCTACTTTACTTACTGTCCTGGTTTGGCATTTCTGAAAAGTCAAATAGCTACTTGTGAAGACTGACAAACCCAGACCATGAAGTGCTAAATTTCTTAAACAGCCTGAATCAACATCTCAGTAACCACAGTTATACTAGTATAAGTTACAGATGGCTCATACTTTGGTGCTTGTCAATCCTGGATACTGCTGCTATCAAAAGGAACGGTGAAGGAAACAAGAACAAGATTGTGTATACATGACAAAGATCCATCACCTTTGAAATCTCTTAGAGAGGAAAACGTCACTTTGCTGTATTACTTTGCTACCAAGGGGCATCTGCAGCTAGTTCCAACTTGTATAGTCTGTTGATAGTAGCTCCATAAACAGCTGAAACAGTGGGTCAAGGAAGGTGGGGAGACCAGGGCTAAATAAAGTTTAACAGAGTGGGGGAAACTACTGTAAAATAAAAGGGAGACAACTGAAAGCCAGAACGAAGAACACTACGAGCAGAGGTAACCTAAGACAAAAAAAAAATCATTTTGTGAGATGAACACACCTATTACTGTTCCCATAGCGCAAAATTTCTGAAAGATTTCTCAAGTGGAGAGTTTAAGTTGATGTGCAATCCACAGTCCCATAAAATTGTCTCTGTTGTGCAGCAGGCAGGTTCTCAGAGGACTGACAGATCACTTATTGAAAGAACCCACAGTGATACACCCTTAGGCAAATAATGAACGTTCTGCTTTTGAAAATGCAATTTACTCAGACCCAACAGCTGTTTCTCAGAAATACTTCAGAGAGTCTCACCAGTAGATCTGCCACAGATATGGTATTTGCTGGTTTACAACATCATCTGTAAGATGTTCTTTATAGAAAGGTGATGTAAATTCAATTGGCATTGGAAAATTCAAGAGATATCTACAGGAGAAAAAAAGTAGTAGTAAGTGAAAATATCCCTCTACATAGAGGAGTCCTATGTGGATGTAACATTTAGTTCCAAAATCCCAGTTCATGGGACATATTAAAAAAGATGCAATTTTCCTAGATTTTAGTTTAACTCTATCCAGGTAGAATTTCTACAAAAAGCATTACATGGAAATACAGAAACAGTTAATATAGAAAGCATTTACTCCCTCATTATGTACAAAGTTAAATGTTGCTTTGTATCTCAGACTTCCCCCTCCCCACATAAAATACATCAAAAGTAAGATACAATCATCTACATACAGTCAGCTAAGCTGCATTTCCAGTAATAAATTTAATGTAAACAAATGTAAGCAGGAATAAAATTTAACTTCTAACTTGGAGATAAAAAACATTTCAAAGCCTTATCTGCACAAGTTTTAGTACAGAAGGTCTTCCTTTGAAGGCCTTCAGAAGCATCGATTTTGACTCTAGGGAACGTGCATATTTCAAAACTTCCATGTTTCTCAATTAGGTGCTAAAATTCAACAGCAGGCTAGATACAAACCTGTGCCTTTTCAGCAATAATAATCTGCTCATTAATAGCACGCTGGACCTCTGGATTGAGGTCTTTTGAAAGTGCTCAAATATACTATTTTAAGTATGTAATTTTAGGCTCCTAGCTTCGGGGGGCAGGGGGGCGACAAACCAAAAAAAAAACAAAACAGAAAAACCCCACACTAACAAAGAAAAACCTTGCCAAACATATGATTGATTTTCATTGCCCAAATTCAGACATTAAACTTGCTGGCTGTTTCATCTTTAAATGCTTGTGGTTTTACAATTTTGTGTACATGCACAAACAACAAGCATAAACCTTATAAACTACCAAACCATAATTTAATCAAGTTTTAGCAAAACATGCCAAGCTAAAAATAGACCAGTTTAAAAGTTCTAGACTGTCTTGTTTTTCAAGAAAATGCCAATAATGCTGAAATTTAAATAGAAAAAAATATTCTAAGTGTACCTTAAGAGATCCATGGGACCATGCTGCTGACATGTGTTCTCAAAGAAAGCTGCCACAAAATCTTGCAACAGTGGAAGAATACTGCTTGACCTTTCCTGTTTTAGGGTGTTTTTTTTAAAAAAATAAAAAAAATTCAAATCAAACATCAACCTGAAAATGACAAGAACAATTTAAGCACAATAAATAACAAGTGGTGTGTCTATCTCTGCAATGCTCTATTGTCTTCATTCTCTCAAGAATGAAGTCCAGCTGGGTCAGTCAGCAGGTAGCAGAAAAAAGCCGAAAACATATTACAAGGTTTACTGTTAATGTGTGTTATTCTTGGTTAAGGATATTAACAGTGGATTAGAACAAACCAAACTATAAATTTATGATTTTATGTAACTCCTTTGATGATCTTTAATCATGTCACTAATCTTGTCAATTCTATATAAAGGGGTACTAGACATTACAAAAATACCATGAAGATTAATCAATTTGACAAGTGTTTGAAGCAACACACAAACCCCAAACTTTATAAAGCCAGCAGACCAACAAAATGAGTTTTGGAGTGGAGTATTACCTGTGAAACAAGGTATTTACATAAGTGATAAAAAATTTCTGCATTCTGAGGATTCTTCTCAAAAGCTCCAATCCACACTTTGTAGGCACTGTCAGTCTGCTCCATCTGCAAATACAAGGTGGCCAAACTCTCCAAGAGCTGACAGTTGTTAGGGCAGACCTCCAACAAAGACCTACAAAGTTCTGCAGCAGACTCCCACCTTAAACAAAAGTACAGGTAAGTTTTCAAAAAAGCAGAGTTGAATACTCCAATTAAAAATGTCTTGAAACAACTTACCTTTCAAGAAGCTTCAGCAAAGTTATCATGTTTCTGTAGAGAGGAAAGCAGATAGCTATTCTTTTGTCAGCCTCAAGGCTTTCATCAGTACATGCTTTGACCGCATCTTCAAAACAAAAGTATAAAATTAAGCCTTTAGACCCCAAGCAATGTCAAAGTTATCTGAAGCCTTAACATAACAAAAAGTCACATTTAACATAATGAAAATACTTAAGTGTGGAAAGGTATTTCCGAGAGTGCTGCTTTTGCAAATTATTAAAAAAAGAAAGATCACCATCTTTCTTAACATTTATCACCACAGTGCAAAGACAAAAGTCTTTCAGAAGTTTCATCCCTTGGTCATTTAAGAAACAGGAAGCTTCTTACCAATGAAGTGTTAAAGCCTCACTACAGATAGCAGTGTATCACTATATTTAAAACTACATTCCAGGATTTCCAGCAGAGCCACTGAAAGCTATTGAGACAAAAGCTAACATAGGATGCTATTTTTCTTCTCAGCATAATAAAAAGGTACCCAACAATGAACACTCCATTATCATGGCTAGACTGCCTTCACTCCCGCAGCTGGGCTACTCAATCTATCCTTCAGTATTTCCACACTACATTACCACCTGCAGCACAGATATAGTCTCAGTGGCAATTCAATATTGCTGCTGGCTAACATGCTATTATAAAACCCACCTCTGGCAGCACCACAAGTCAAGAATTCAATTTCTTCTAGTATCTTCATTTTTAAAATTATTTTTAAAAATTTAAAAGATTTAGTTTATTTAAACTTTGAATGAAGACAAACACATGCATTGTTCTGCCTCTAAGGGGAAAACTAATTTTCCAGGAAAGTAACTTTCCAACTGAGGCATCCCATTGAGGGTAAGGAGGGTAAGACAGAACAAGAACAGAAGCTTGGCTTTATGCTTGCATAAGCCCAAGAAAACTTGCAATGTCATACTGTCACAAGCCACTGGTCTTTACCTTGATAGAATATTATAGTTCAGAGAAAAAGCTATGGTTTTGAAAAACTCAGTGTATGTTAAGTACCCAAGAATATGGACTTTCCTCACTGCTCTGTTCAAATCAAGATGAAATTCACTGGATTAATCCCAATGGCTTAACATAGTCACCAGCAATATTGCACTGCCTTGAAATTCCAGAAGTTGGATAATATTTCTTGATTTACAAGAAGTGAGCAACGTATTAAGTAGTTTACCTCCTTAATCTTACCTTCAAACATAGCTAACAGCATATCAGGATCAGTCTTCACATCTTGAACTGTTTGCCATGGTATTAAAAATGGCTCTTTGTTCATGATCCTTGAAGGACTGGCATTAGCTGGATCATAGAACTTGGCTGGGAGAATGCCGAATTCAGTTAGATGTATGTAAGCCAGCCAAGCCAAGCAACGGTCACTTACGGTAAGGTGTTCCGATACTATCTTTTCATTTGCTGATTTTAAAGCATTCTGTAAAGGTTAAAAGAAATACAATGTATTTCAACCATAAAGTCTTTAAGATTTAAGAAGGAGAAAAGGAAAAAGGAAGAATACGTTTTAATATTCTCAAATCTTTTCCATAGAAAATACATTTTAATATTCTCAAATCTTTTCCATAGAAGAGACGGGAACTAATTCTTTACGTCAATCATGATTATATTTGGCTTATGTGAACATCATACGAATGTTCAAATCATACGGATAATTTCTAGTAACAGGTTTAGAAAAACTGGAAGATTGTTATTCTGAAAAGTGAACAGAGAGACTTTGAAAACATGCATCTCCCAACATGTGTTCCATTTTTCTGCTAAATTCTTACGACAATTACTTCCAGTTGCATAGAAATAATACATTATTAGCTCTAGAGTCAACTGATCTACAATTTGGATTCAACTTGCTATACCCTGCTGGGTTTGGGTTTTTTTTTCCTGTTTGTTCATTGTTTTTTGGGTTTTTTTATTAAGTTCCAGTTATACAGCTACTAAGTTACAGTTATCCAAGTCTACTGAAAGCACACCCATCTCTAGACATATTGTTTAAAAAAATGTGTTGGAAATATTACTGAGAACAAGGATACTGCTTCAAATTTTCTTAACAGTCACATGCAAAACTAGAATGCCCAGTTAAATTGGTAGATCCCAAATAAAATCATTAGAGCATGCAATTAGACAAAGTCATAGAACCATTTAGGTTGGAAAGGACCTTAAAGATCATCGAGTTCAATCATAAACCTAGCATGGCCAAGTCCACCACTAAACCGTGGCCCTCAGCACCACATCTACACATCTTCTAAATACCTGCAGGGATGGTGACTCAGCTACTTCCCTGGGCAGCCTCTTCCAGTGCTTGACAACCCTTTTGGTGAAGAAATTTTTCCTGATATCTAACCTAAACCTTCCCTGGTGCAACTTGAGGCCATTTCCTCTTGTTCTATTGCTTGTTACTTGGGAGAAGAGGAAACCTCCTTTCAGGTAGCTATAGAGAGCAATAAGGTCTCC